TAATTTGAGAAAAATTTTTTATCTAAAATTTGTATGTCTAATGCAAAATATATGATGTTTATATTCAAAATGATCATCAAATTATAAGAATCCCAGCAATGTAAATTATATTCAATCGGTAATTTGTATGAATTTTATGGAGCCAAAACAAATATCTTCAGTTAATAAAAAAATAATAATCATCAGAAGGGCATTATTGGGGTGAAGAGAAGTCACCCCCTGGCTATCATTTCACCCATAAAATTTAGCTCTTGTGTAATTCAAGATTATTTTCTTTAAATCAACACTGCACTGCATTATATATTGTCAATATGTAAAATATATTTCAAAATGATCAATAATTTGCTTGGAAACACAGAAAAAGTGTTTAGTTGAAGAGAGTCTCAAGCAAGATGTTACCTCCAGTGAAAAGAGAGAGACTGGACGCCTGTTTGTTGTGTTAAGAGGCTGGATGTCACAAGATTAAACTAGTCACTTTACCTTTCAATTTTGTTCAATAATTGTTAAAATGACTAAAAAAAATTGAATATTAAACTTTTAAAATTATTGAATAGTATAAACTTCTTGATATTTACAAAATAGTATAATTTAAGCCCTAGAACCGATTAATGGCTGATGGACTGGATACTAACCTGGTTGCCCGTCAGTGCAAGCGAAACATGTTGAGGTCGGTTCAGAAGAAGTTCGTTGCTTAATTTTTTTTTCAATAACCGAATTCAAAGATCCTTATGGAAGGCAGTTCGTTAATCGTAAATTGACAAGCAACCAGGTGTCACTTTATATATATATATATATATATATATATATATATATATATATATATATATATATATATATATATATATATATATATATATATATATATATATATATATATATATATATATATATATATATATGTATATATATATATATATATATATATATATATATATATATATATATATATATATATATATATATATATATATATATATATATATGTATGTATGTATATATATATATATATATATATATATATATATATATATGTATATATATATATATATATATATATATATATATATATATATATATATATATATATATATATATATATATATATATATATATATATATATATATATATATATATATATAATAATTTTTTTTGTTTTTTTTATTATTATTATGTCCTCTAAAACAAGTAAAGTTAAAACAACACCACTGAGGATCACTGGGAGAAAAGAAATAGTGCTCAGAACTCTGGCAGTTATGAAGAAACTGAAGATATGAGACAAAATTGATGCTGGGGTCTACATGACTGTTATCTGTGAGGAGCTTAGGCTGAAGTGGAGTACTTTTTATGATGTCTCCCAGATTTAAGTGCGTACTAGATATAATTGTAACTTAATGTAAAGTGTAACAAAATTTAAGTGTGAACACAGGTACAGTACATTATTGTCGGTGTACTTTACCTCAAGATTCATTTGTTACAATAACTGTGCAGTTTAAAAGTATACTGTTGATTTTAACATTGTCTTTGGAAGTAGGTACACATAAATCAGAATTCTAGATAAACCTTGAGCCCCATATATTCCGACTTAGGGAGGTCTTACAAACTGTACCTATCCAATTGTAAACCTGTAATACAATTTGACTGCGTAAATATTATTATTATTATTACAATATTACAAAAGTACTGTATACATTTCCTTAATATAAATCACACAAGAAGATGGTAAATATGACTGAGTGAGCCCCAAACCTGGGTGGAAATTTTTGAGCATGCAGCAGGGACCTGAATGTTAAGGAAAAGTTTATTCTCTAAAGAACATCTAATTATCAACTGAATAAATATCAAAAGTGTTACAGAAGCTCATGTTTATAACAGATAAGATAAGAGTTTCTTGTGATGTTTGGAGAGTTCATTACATACAGTCCCTTTACCTGAGTTGACTGACAGTAACAGTTGAAGATAAAGTCCAGTGTGTTCTTACCTTGAGCACTGTCTCATTTTCTTCTTTTGTACTGTTAATCTGGCACCAAAGGCTGTGTGCCCCTTGTTCAAAGAAAAAAAATACATTAGACACTATAATTTACAATTTAAAATATTTTTAAGACATCAGAATATCTTTTGAAAACATTTTAAATAATTAGCATACTTCTGAGCTTTGCTTAAGACAAGAGGTTTCAGAGTGGTCTCCCTCTAACTTAATTTGCTGACCAACTTTCACTGTACTTGTAGTAGAGTGTCAATTAATATAAATACAGTACAGAATGTTTGTTAAAACTGTACCAGTCTACCAGTACAGTACCTGATATCACCGGTATAATTGAGTTCAAGGCTTTCATCACTGTTGGTGTCCATAATATTATCTCTTTCGCTATGTTCAACGTTCCCATCCTTGCGGGTGTGACTCCTGTTCACTTGAATGGTGTAAGGCCTGGCAACAATAAATACAGTTCTCAAGAGGACCAAATGAGTTCTGAAAAGGATAAGATACAGAAGTAATAGAAGCACAGTACAGTACTGTATACCTAATTAACCCCCTTTAATTCTCATTTTAATACCCTGTACTGTACTACAGGCAACCCCCGGGTTACGGAAGGTATGTGTCCTTGAAAATTTGTCCGTAACGCGAAACCAATTTTCCCATTGACTTCCATTATATAATTGGAGATGCATTCCCAAGAAAATATTTTTGGCAAAAAAAAACGTAATGCAAGGACATTTATGAATATACTGTAATATAATAATAAATATGCAAAACACTTGAATTTAACTTACCACAAACGATGTTGAGTGCTACGTTAGGTGAGGCAAGGTGGTGCAGTCAAAGTTACTGGAAGGGAGACGGAGGGGCACTACTGACTCCTGCCTCGTCCTGTACAGTATTGTAGCAACCACCAAGAAATCCACACAAAATAAATTTTATAATTTCTGTGATTTTATTTCTAATAGTATTGAAAAAAAAAACTCAATTTCCGTAGGGGCGAATTTTGTGTCTATCACAAATTTATTGGTCATAATTTACAAAATCCGTAAGCGCGAATTTTCACAATCAGAGTATCCGTAACCCGGGGGATGCCTGAATATACTATATAAATACAATATGCTGGAACTGAAACTACATCATCATTAAAGTTTTATGGCCATTTTCCACACTTGTGTAAGCTGTGTAAAACCAGAACAGGATGTTCACCCCCAGTGCTCACCACCATATATATATACCCAGTGCAGCAGCCCAAAATATGCTGCAGAGGTCAGGGGATGAGCATAGCTCTGGCGACCCACTTATCATCAGATATGTTAAAGCAAACTTTACTGCTGGATGTCATTCCTAAAGCTACGATCACACTAGCCACTGATATCCCTGGACTGGGAGGGTGGGGATTAAGGATAATCTTCTTGATAACAGTATTCAGGATCAGGTCAGTGGGCCTCAGACCTGATCCTGAATACTGTCCTCAACTCAGGACACAAGTCATGTGACCTAATTCCTTTGTTCTATGTCTTTCTCCTTTACTTTGTTCTCTTAATTGACTGAAGAGGGTCCTAGTATACCAGTTCCAAGATTGTCTTTTATTTCTCCATTGTGGGTTTTCCTTCATTTACCAGTGGTATTATCAGCTCACCTCCCAGTGTAACTGTTACGTTTATTTATTACTGTATTATTTACTTTATTATTATGAACTGTACAGTATAGTACTGTATTTTCTTTCTTTCTAAGCCACATTACAGTACTTTAATGATTCGTACTTACAACACAGAATCCCCAGTTTTTCTGACTTCCCTCCTGAAATTTTCCCAGTGAATCGATGGTTGCTAAACCAAAAATTCACTATCGCTAAACAACAAAAGGTGTTAAAATTTTTAAGTCATTTAATCAAAATTATCACTAAGTGAACGATCACAGTACACATATATTTATTATTACCGGTCATTTCAGCTATGAACTAATCATATTCTATTCAACTCATTGTATAATTTAATACCATGAGTTATAAATTGTAATTGTCATGTATTAATTCTTCTTGCCTGACTCACTCAAGTAGCCCAAGTATTGTCTCTTGAGACCAAGAAATTTGTTTCTCTATGATCCAGAGCTTCTAACTAGTCACCAGCTGTGTGTTGGATAATAATAACAATATTAACATGGCTGAGCCAGTTGAGAGCCTGAGGTCTCTTTTAGGCACTTGTTGTTTACCATCAAGTAAGTGTTGGATGTTAAATTCTTGATTAATAACTGTATTTAATACTGTGGCGGTAACAATATTTACAGTATTGTTTTATTTATCTTATTATAATACAAGAACGAAATTACTGTATTTGATTTATATAGGGAGGTTAGTACTACAGATTCTCATTACTAGTACCGATTACTGCCCAGTGAAAACAGTCTAGCATAAACCACCCAAATCCACAAATACCAGTGGTTGGGTGGGTGAAAAACCTGTATTATCGCTGGACTCGGCAGTTTAAATGACTAGTGTGACCAATGCTCAGGGTTGTTATGATTTAAATCAAATGATTTAAATCACACGATTTAAATCGATTTAAATCAGAGTAAAAAAAATCATGATTTAAATCAAAATGATTTTTTTACTAATAACTGTTTTCTCTTTTTATTCTACATGATTGAAAAGTATATGCAATGCAGCAGGCTAATAACATTATTTGGGTTTACATAATTATGTACTGTACTATAGTCTGTTCTCTCCAGTTTTGTGAAACTTAAGATATGATTAAAGGTCTCATTATTAATGTATATATTTACATGAAATATATTGTTAACTAAGATAATAAATACTATTGAAATTCAGAAATCATCACATCCCAGGATCTTTGTATAGAAGAGCAGGAGGAACAATGCTAGTAATGCCATCAGACACATGATGGAACACAGTGACAGATTCTATTGAATCTTATTTAAAGAACTGGGAGACCCTTGTCAAAGTGTGCAAAGAAAATAGTGAAGACATTGATAAGAAAATTGAAGGCAGAGTTAATGATAAGGCATTAAAAAGAACTGCAGAAGACTATTTAGAGAGACTTAAGCCTATTGCTGTGGCATTGGACTGTGTCCAGAGAGAACATACCCTATTATGTGATGCTGTAGAAATCTAGGCAAAACTGAAAACTGATATTAAGGAGTATCTAACATAAGAAGGATATGGATAATTTTGAAAAAAGAATCAAAGTAGCATTGACACCTGCCCATTTTCTAGCTAATGTGATAGATTCAGGGCAGACATCTGACTCCTGAGCAGCGAGACATTGCAGAACAGTATGTGTGCGAGTCTCTTCCACATTTCCTTTCAACATTAATGTCCTTCCATGGAAGAAGTGCACCATTTAAAGAGGTCTATTTTGGTAAAGATGTTGTAAAATCTCTCACTCCTTGCTTGGTGGCAGTATTTTGCCAATAATATGACAGAAAATGTAATGGATGTTCCTAGGCAATTATTTACAGCTGTTGCATCATCAGCAGGGGTTGAGAGAATTTTTTCTACATATGGATTTGTACACTCAAAGGTAAGAAATCGCCTAGGACAGGAAAAGGCATCTAAGCTTGTCACAGTACATAAGCATTTCAATGTTCAACTAAGCTAATTTAAATGTTTTGAACTATTTTTGTTGTTTACAGAATGAGAATATTGTGTTGACTTGAAGTTATTACCGGTAATTCTTTATACACTATAATCCTACAAATGTAAGAAAATAAACTTGTTACCAGTATTATTTTTTTTACAAAATGAGAATATTATTGTGTTGACGTGAAGAAGTTAAGTTATTAATTTTTGAAACACTGTAATCCTATAAGAGCATTTATGTTAAATTTCATTATTACGTTTGGATTTGTGCACTCAAATGTAAGATATGTTACCAGTTTTCTTTTATTTTACAAAAAGAATATTATTGTGTTAAATTCCATTGGTACATCTACTGCATAAATATCTTAATGCCAATTTTCTGTTTATTATCCTGAATAAGTTATGATTGAAAAATACTGTTTTTATGGTTTAAAAATACTATTTTAATGCAATTAGTAAAAAAATCGATTTAAATCAAATAAATCGATTTTTTATTTTATTTTTAAAAATCATGATTTCTTCCAACCCTGATTATATATATATATATATATATATATATATATATATATATATATATATATATATATATATATATATATATATATATATATATATATATATATATATATATATATATATATATATATATATAACGAACGGATCCTACTACGAATATTCCTATAACGAACGGTTTTACCTATAAAATTGAGAATGCTATAACGAACGCAACTCCTACAACGAACGCGGATGAATACGGGACTATTTCGCCTGGCGCATGAATATTGTTGTACCGCGACCCACAACAAGAGCGTCAGGCGCCATCTTTGTCTCATTGTGTAGCCAGTGCACCACTGTTATTGTTGAAATTTCGTCTTTTGATGTGGAAATTCGCGTTATTTGTATAACTATTTTGTTATACAAGTATACAATTGTAACAATGAGTCGTCCAAAGCGAGTGAGAAAGCTAATAACCCTTGAAACTAAGAAAGAAATTATAAAGAAACGTGAGAATGGAAGAAGCATTGCGAAACTTAGTGATGAATATGGGATGGCTAAATCGACTATATGTACGATTTTGAAGAATAAAGAGGAGTTAAAAACTGTGCAAGTGGCTAAGGGAATCTTTAGACTTAGCAAAGCAAAGTGTAATGTGATTGAAGAGATGGAAAATTTACTCTTAGTGTGGATAAAGGAGAAAGAAATGGCAGGTGGTAACATTAGTGAAGCTATAATTTGTGAGAAGGCTAAACAATTGTTTGAGGACCTAAAAGCCAAGACTCCCAGTGGAAGTGATGGTGATGTGCCAGTGTTTAGGGGTACCTGCATGCTGAATAACACTAAGGTAAGATAACGTACCGTATTTTTTACATTTTCCACAGAATTTTTTCATTGTTAAGTGGTTGTATTTGGGGGCCTGGAACGGATTAATCCTATAACGAACGAATGCTATAACGAACGAGGTTCTGGAACCAATTAAGTTCGTTATAGCATACCCCACTGTATTCGTAAGTTTTTAGACCTTGTTGTAAAACTGTTTTTGGTTATACAGTATCAGGGTCGGATTCAGGAGTGGGCAAAGTGGGCAGCTGCCCAGGGGCCTCCACAATCTGGGGGCCTCCATATATTACAATATTTTATTTATTTGTTTATTCATTTGGATTATTTTTATTTTCATTCTTTAAAATTCATGTATATCTATTCCATCATGTAAAACTATGTTCAGCAAGAAGCATGATAGAAATTAGGCTAGCTACTTGGTACAAGCACGCGATCTATTAACTCAGTTTAAATTAAGTTTTCCTATTTTTTGTGACTTTATGACACCAAATACTAGTCGAGAAGTGGTTGGCAGTCCGATTTATTGATGTAGGACCATTATTTGACTGCACTGTGGCTACATTTGGGTAATAAGTCGGACCAGGCCTGAATACGTGTAGATGTTTGAACCTGTATAAATCTCCCAACACATTTCAAATATCCTCCGATTGGTTACAGCACATTTAGTGAAATTCACGTGAAACATTCGAATATAAAATCCTGCGGAAATGTGTTACCGTGTTGGTGGTCAGTGGAAACTCGCTTAATGTGCAGGGTTCGAGCCTCGGCCCAGACACACGTGAGCAAAGGTTTCCCGGTCCCCAGTTTCCTCATGTACCAACACTAGAGTGACCAACTGCCCGAACGACTTGTACGCTGATAAGTGACGAAAATGAGAAGAAAAAAAATCTGTCAATATTGTCGAATATTAGTCCTGCGCTGATCACGTCCACGAAATGTAAACATGATCACTTGGACAGTATAATTATGAAATCAGGTTTGTGATAAGTGAATCAGTTTTTGCGTGCCCATCACATTTTGGTAAAATCTATAATAATATATGTTCAAAAAGTTAGGTAGAGTTTTGAAAGGTTTGTTTGGTGTTTTTTTCTGTATGTTTTAACCGCTCATTTTCCCTTATCTTCCAAGCCCTCCCCATATTGTCGTTGCTAGTGTTAGTTACATCACCATAACCATAAGAATTCATTTCCCACGGAATTAAAGGTCATTTTCATTTATAACATTAAAATATACGAAAGAAAACCCCATTTCTCGTTATGGCATAAAACGAAACTTCCGCTCACCACTCCTGTGCATTAAGTTACCATACCAATAGGGGTCCGACTAATTACCCAAATGTACCCACAATGAAGTCAAATAATGGTCCTACATGAATAAATCGGACTGCCAATCACTTCTCGACTAGTATTTGGTGTCACAAAGTAAAAAAAAAAATTGGAAAACTTAATTTAATCTGAGTTAATAGATCGCGTGCATGTACCTAAACTAACCTACCGTAACCTAACCTCGACTAGTATTTGGTGTCACAAAGTCAAAAAAAATTGGTAAACTTAATTTAATCTGAGTTAATAGATCGAGTGCATGTACCTAACCTAACCTAACCTCGACTAGTATTTGGTGTCACGAAGTCACAAAAAATTGGTAAACTTAATTTAATCTGAGTTAATAGATCGCGTTCATGTACCTAACTTAACCTAACCTAACCTAATCTAATCTAATTTAACCTAACCCAACACAACTCAGATTAAATTAAGTTCACCAATTTTTTTTTGACTTTATGACACCAAATAATAATCGAGAAGTGATTCACAGCCCGAATTATGCTTGTACGACCATCATGTGGCTTATGTGAGTCCTATCTTCAAGAAGGGCGATAGGCACTCCACGAACAACTATAGACGATTTATAATATTAAAGTACCGAGAGTATTATCGGCACGTGGAACATCTACAAAACAACCTTATAAAGATTGCCGGGTTTTATGCGGGGCGCTCTTGTGACACAATTGCTCAAGGTATTGGATATTTGGACCCATATTCTAAAGCAGGATGGTAATATGACATATTACTACAATGCAGGCTTTCGCACAGTGTTGCCCACAGGCTGAAAATCAGGCAAGATACGGATTCGGAAATGTCAGCGTGGATAAGACTTTCTACGACCGCAGCAATGTGTGGTGATATGGCTGAAATCGTCATCTGTACCTGTAACAAGTGGGGTGCCGCGTTGTTTGTTTTGTTTTATGGCCATGACGTTGTACTCCTCCATAAATGCCGATGACGCCAAGTTATTTCGGGAATTAAGAACCCAGCGGACTGTGACTGCAGAAGGATATCTGGTGGGGTGGTGAAGAATGGCTGCAGATTCAATGTCAGTGAAGATGCACGGGCGTACTACAGGTGGGGAATACCATATGTCCCAACGGGATGAAAATATGCTAGAAGGAATGTGTGAGAAGGACCTAGGTGTTATGTTGACAATGAGGCTTTAAGTGAAGAGAATCAGCATAAATTTGCTGGATTATAAGAAGGTCGTTCAGATATCTAGACAGGTCCGTCCCTCGTGACGATCTTCAGGAGGGAAGTCTTCCCCATGGTACTGTCACTCCCATCTCCCCGAATATGCTAGGGACTGTCAGTTGGTTGAAATGTTCAAAGAGGGCCACCAAGCTGGTGCCTGCATGGCATCTCAGCTACCCTGCGAGATTGAGCGCCTGAACTTGCCTAGCTTATACTACAGACGGGCAGGGGGACTAGTTGAGGTTTATAAGCATCTCCAGGGGCACTACTCAGTTGAGTGTCCAGGAGCTGGCGGACGCTCGCCCCACAGGGGTCACAGCTCAAGATTAGGCCTGAAGTCAACCGTGAGGCAACTTTTCGGAGTGAGGTTGTAAACTCTTGGAACAATCTACCAGAAAGTGTTGTGACGGCACCAGTGTGAGCTCTTTGAGAAGACTTGATGTACGCAGACGGACAGTGAACCAGTATTAATTATGACAGAGACGTGATGATCTTCAACAACTGGTGAAGAATATAAAGGAAAAGAGTCGTGACCGATCGCCCAAGCGGCTAACAAGCCGATCAGTGAAGAGGATAATAATATTCTTCATTGCGGCTACATTTGGTAATTTCCTCCATCGGTACATGCAGATCTATTAACTCAGATTAAAAGCCAGTTTTCAGTACTTTTCTGACACCAAATACTAGTCGAGAAGTGATTGGCAGTCCGATTTATTCATCTAGGACCATTATTTGACTTCGTTGCGGCTACATTTAGCCACATTTGGGTAATTAGTCGGACCATACCAATAGGTAGGTAGTTGTTGTACCTGTATCCCGTGCCAATAAAAATACACATCCGTTAGTAATATGACAGGCTTACCTTATACTGAAATAGAGATCCGTTTGACGTGTGAACACAACTAGAAGAGGTGGCACAGTTACCAGTGTGCCCAATGAAATACACTGACTCCACCCGTTCAGTTCATGTTCAATCAACGGGACGCTTGAGTCATGGTGTCCTCTTCCACCCTCCTTGGACAAATTATATATATATATATATATATATATATATATATATATATATATATATATATATATATATATATATATATATATATATATCAAGTAAATCACTGTGAGTGCGTGATCTAGGTATATGCTGATAACCACAAGGAAAGAAAAACACAAAGTTCCCAAGCGCTTTCGTGTAATTCACATCTTCAGGGGTGAGTACAGTCTGTGAATTACATGTTTCTTCTTTATTCAGCTAAGAGCAATTTCAAATGCCCCGCCATTGGCGATACTGAGCTTTCAAGGTCGTCTGAGGGAAGAGAGGCTGCCCGCACATAGTGGGAGGGTGTGGAACTAGCCGAGCACTTACTAACAGTTGAAATGCCAGCGGCATCCTCACTCAGAATAGGCCAGGGAGTCCACCTACTTCTATTTCGATGAATTAATTTACTGTACACTCTGACGTTGAAATCGAGACTATGAACTCCGTTTCATTCCCCTACTATTATCCTCACTAACAATGTCGCGACTGAGCCATCAAAAGCAAAATTAAATTATTACAAAGGGTTGGATGGCAACAGACCAACATATAGCGTCTTGCTACAAAATCCGCGGATTATATTCAAAGTTCCCTTTAGACAGAGACGGCCTATCGATGACGTCATCAAGGAAACAGAAAACGGGGACGTCGTACTGGGGACCCAGAAGGTTTTGTGGACGCTTGAGCGCATTGGCGAATCCTTTAAGGTTTTCAGGTTAGCCGTCATCACGATCATGACAATATATCATAACAAAATGGCACCAAAAATAATACTAAATGGGGTTAGATAAATCATCTCGTACAATAATAATAAATGGGGTTTGGTACATCGTATCATGTAATAATACTAAATGGTGTTACATGTCATAAAAATACACCCTCATACCGGTAGATAAAATGCACACCCAAAATTTCTCTTACAGAACCTCAACAATGTCTATAGGTTATGAAAATTTCTTTTAAGCGATTGGTCAAATGCTTACAGGACACCCTGAGATTTAAACATAGATTTCTCAAGCTAGGACATAGACGAACGGACCCCACTGGAAGTCGAAGGAATGATTTGTTTTGCGTTCTTGGGGCCGTGCCAGGGGTTCTCAATTAGAGGGGGAATTACTTCTGTGGGGAATTCAGGTTTTCAGGGGGAAACTGATTCGAGAGCAAGAGATATGTTCGATGAGAAATCAATCACAGAATTTGGCCCTTGATGTGCGATTCCCACCCAAAAGTGGCAGCAGAAAGAGCTATCCGTGCATTGCTTCCTGTTTGTGTCGACATATCTTGTGAATCAGGCTTTTTCAACTCTGTTGCAAATTAAAACGATGCAACGTAAGTAAAAAGGAGGTAGAAAATGACCTGCGTTGTGCCCTTCAAGCACTCCTCCGCGTATCCCAGAATTGAAGAAAAAAACAATCACAGGTTTCTCATTGACTGTAATCTTCATCTGAATAAAATTAATTACAAATTTACAATATCCTGGTATTCTATTGGATTTTTGTTTATTGCATTATGCTTCAGTTTGGTCTGTTAAGTAATTCATTATAAATAAAAAAACCATTTACTTTTATTCAAGTTTTATAAATCCATCAACATTTTCAATTGGCATTTAATTTGTAAAACCCACTTTTAAAAATAATCCATGTAAAATTGTAAATGTATATGTACTAATATGGAAAAATAAAGGATTTTCAGTATTGTATGCATATTATTTGGAATGCACTTTTGAGGCAGACAATCTTGAAAGGGAGGAGAGAATGACATTCTGACATATGGTGAAAGGGGTGCATGGGGAAAACAAGGTTGAGAACCACTGGTCTAAAGAGTCATGTCGCACTCTGCGAGAGGCAGCAC